TTTGGTTCCTGTCCTGGAACTAGCTCTTGTAGACCAGGCTGGCCTCAAACTCACAGAGATCCGCCTGCCTCTGCCTCCCGAGTGCTGGGATTAAAGGCGTGCTCCACCACCGCCCGGCCCACCATTAGATTTTTAAGAACCTTATTGCTAGAAGATGGATAGTCAGTTTTCTTTAATGGAGTGGCCCACTAGTAGGCTGACCACACTCTATGACATGCCCCAGTCATAAGAGTAATTGGACAGCAAAAATTGGATTACATGGATTAAAAAAAAAAAAGAAAAAGAAAAACTCAGATGTTGGGTAGGTAAGAAAATGATGGTGAAAATGGGATGAGTTGGGTTAAGGGAATGATTATAAACAAAATAAATTGTTATTAAATTCTCAAAAAATTAATACAGATATATGATAGTGATCCATGAAAAATAACTAGTTCACATCATAACTCAAAATTTTTCACTTGTATTCTGCTTTGAAAAACTTGTTTGTTCTGCAACTAAAATGCTCCATTATATTTTCAATTCTATAGACTATTAAAAAGATATGCATTTTATGGTTGAGATATAATAAAGGAAATAACTGATTATATCTCATCAAGGACTTTCTTCAACTAAGTGTGACACTGTAAAGAACCCAATGACAAATGTACTATTTGGAGTTTCTACTGTTATTGTACACAGCAGTTCTAAAAATATTTGGGTTATTATGAAACAGTTCTGACCTAAGGACTCCTTGAAAGGGTTTGGAGATGCCTAGAGACACACAGACCACACCTCTGACAACTACTGTTGTAGAACACAGTCATTAACGGTATTGCAAAGAACAGGATATAAAGGAAGAGGCAGTTAGGAAGGATAAAAGAGCCCATGCTTCAAGAAAAAATTAAGTTGTACAAAGTAATCATTTCTCATAGCTCTCCAAGTGTTCCCTATTATTCTTAAATGTCAAATAGAAGATGTCATGTCATCTTTCATAATCTGAAAAGGTGACTGCTAATTCCATAATATGCCATTTTCAACAAGCAAAAAACTATTTCTACCTACTCACAATCAACTATAAATATAGCTGTGGTGACTATCAAGATCTCTCCAGTTACATTAGACCGTGGGAACCTGTTCAGAAGGGAAATGAGTGAGTTACCTCAAAGTATTTTTCTCTCTATCATATGGACTTTTATATTGTCCATTAAGAAGTATTATATTGTCCATTAGTAAGTACTCAGGAAACACTTGGAAGTGAATTAGATCACATATATTTAAATGTTGATTGCAGAGACTATACCAACTAGAGACTTATTTCAAAACACAACCAAGTATTTTTAAAACTATCACTTGATAATTGATCGATTATATAAAAATAAAATAGTTCAGTGTTCAAAATTCATTTTAAGCCCGATATTTAGAAGCTTATCACAAAAGTAAATGTTTAATAATCCATGAATATACATTATATAATCAATTTTCCCTATGCTATATACAATCTAGTCTGACAATGCCAAATTTTTATATTTTTGTTTTAAAAATGTAATATTCAGGTGTGCTACCTTTCATTAGTAGTCATTAGTAGCAGCATACTTCACACGATCACTAAAGAATTCTCCATACGTCTTTCATAGGGATACTGTTTTTTTTCTAATTTTACTCAGTATATAAACAGGTTTTATTATGCTAATACATAGCATGATGTCTTATTCTTATTCACTTCCACTCTGATTTTTCCCACATCCCCTGCCTCTTGCTGGACCACAGACTCCACTCAAACAGTTCTCTTCATTTGATTTTGTCACATATCTTTTATTACTCACTTTTTCAACACTCCCCAATTTCTTAAAATTGTTCCTCCCCCTCTACTGTCTTGTCTTCTCTCTCTCTCTCTCTCTCTCTCTCTATATATATATATATATATATATATATATATATATATATACACACACACACATACACACACATATACAAGCATATATATATATGTTCTTCATATGAGTGAAAACATAATCACATGAATGAAAACATGAGGAGTTCATGTGGTCCTGGACTTTTTTATTTAACTTGGTATAATGTACTGCTTCTCATTCCTGATATAGGTATATATGTGCTGTTTGTATAATCTTGGTTTAATTCTTATGAGTTACATATCAATTAATTTATCCATTTCTTCTGGATTTTTCAATTTATGAGTACAAGTTTGTAAAGCATTACCTAATGGTTTTATGAGTTTCAGTAGTTTGTTATCCCCCTTTCATTACTACTTTTATCAATTTGGGTCTTCTCTATATTTTTATTGGTTAGTTTGGTTAAGTATTTGTCCATTTTGTTTACCTCCTCAATGAATCAATTCTGCTTCATAACATTCTTTGAACTGTTAAACTCCATTTCATTAAACCTTGCTTCATTAATGTACAGTTTTATATGACTTTGACATTAGTAGGATTCTGTTCCCATTAAGTAGAATAAAACATTTAATGTCATAAAACTTTACAACATCTAAAACTCCTATTGCTTATATTTTAACAGTGGAACCTTAACTGAAAAACTTAAGTAAGATTGTACAGCCCAAAGTTTCTTGGAATTGGGCCTACATGTATCTGATTCACAGCCTCGGCCAAATTCTTGAATATGATCAGCATATAATAAGTCACACCTACACAAATGATGCAATACCGACAAACAAGTATGTTCACATCCTAAGAAGCCAAACAAAAGCTACCTTCATAATATCTTTGCTTGGTGAACTACATAATCTCACTATTTTGTATCTTACAACTATGGATTTAAAAGGAGCTTCAACAATGTCTTTTTTTAAATAAACTTTTTACACAGTGTTCCCTGAATTTAAGAACCACACCAACAACTTGTTAGCCTGTTGTTATATTTAATATGAAGATGTTACTGAGAAAAACTCATTTTGTTATACATTATTTTTAATGAAAGCAATAAAAAATTTATATGGTTTGTTTAATATGTTTCTACCTTAATGACACTGTCAATGCTAATGCATTTGAATAGGTCTGCTTCTTTATGATCGCTATCAATCTCATTTCTGAATTGCTTAAGAAAGGGTTCCAGGCCCTATGTTATATATTTGTAAACAATAATGTGTATTCCAGGCTTTACTTAATCTTTCCTGCTCTGATTTTTCTGTTTCTATCCATATTGCCACTTGCTTTTAGGGTTGTGTTTGTTTTTCTCCTCCCTTTGATTTTGGGATGTTTGAGAATGGGTTTCATTATGTACCCAAGATAGACTCAAAGCACTCTGTACCCCCCACAAACCAGCCTCAACCTCAGAAGCATCCTTTTTATTCAGCCACCTAAGTGCTAGGGTTATAGGCAAATAATACCATATCCAACTTATGCTACTTACTTTCAGTTTTGATTGTTGTTTACCTATAGAATTCTTAAATCTTTTATGATACAAAGCAAGAAATAAATGCACAGATGAATATATATTATATATTAAGTAACAAAACTTTTAATAACTTCATATGCTTCTGTGTTATTTTATTCGTCAAATATTTAAGCATTTATACTTTAAGATATAAAAACTTCTCTGTTCTAGATTAATATATATCTCAGAAATATTAAAAATAAAATTATCTAGAATATATACACCTAATTTACAAGTTAGTTTTATAATACCTCCTCTACCAACAACCTATTAATAGGCCCTTCTGGTTTTTCTTTCCACCCTACTCTTCAAGTTTTCTCCATGTCTGACTTGGTTTTCTGCTACTATGACAAACACCATGACAACAAACAACTTGAGTGCTAAGGGGTTTATTTGGCTTAAATATTGCAGTCCATCATGGAGAGAAGCCAGGGCAGAAGCTCAAGGCAGGAACTGAAGCAGAGACCATGTTGGAATGCTGCTCGCTGGCAAGTTTCCTCTGCTTTGTTCAGCCACCGTCTTTACACAGACCAAACTCACGTACCCAGGGAAGGTACCACCCAATGTGCTGGGCCTTCCTACACCAACCATCAATTAAGATAATACTTTACAAACATGCCCATGGGCCAAATTGATGAATGAGGTGCTTCAACTGAGATTCCCTCTTTTCCAGGTGTTTCAAGTTGATAACTAAGATCATCCCATAAGCCATTTCAGTTTGTCTTTTATGTCCTAAAAATATTTCTATTTATTTCATATATTCTATAACATATAGATATCAGACTACATTCAAATAATTGTCTAGTTTATACTCAGCAATATATTTTTATTAAATTACTGTGCACACACTGAATACTGAGTAAATATATTTCTTACAAATGTCTTAATCAGTGCTCAATTGCCTTAATTTTCCACTTTATAACTAAATCTCAGCTACTATGATATCTTGTTTCTCCCATATTTCTCCCCACAAATAATGATCGCAGTCATTTTCCTAAAGGCTATCACTTACTATATGCATTAGAAATTTTTTCTGCCTTAGATTTTGGGTATACAATCTACAGGATCCAGATCCACATACTTCCTTTCTGAGAAACATATTACCAAATACTTAATAAACAAATACCATATATGAATATTTCTAAAAAATTCTTCAAAGCAAGAATCTCACATCATTTCCAAATCATCTAGGCTAGTTCTACTTTGCTTTAAGAAATGGTAGGATAGCTCCTGATTTCAAACATAAATTACAGCATAAATTCTAAATTCTCATACAGAGCTAGAAACAGAGGTAACATCACCAGGAGATAGCCAGTTATGTCAGTGAACATAAAAAAGGACATCTAAAATATCTTCATAAAAACCAAGTAGGTGATTTATACAACCAACAGTGAACATGGTGTGGTTTTAACCTAGAGAAATATAAGCTCAGGGGATTAGGATACCTTGACTGCTACTGAAGATCATAACAAAATCTAAATCAGAACAGAAATAAAACAAAACTAAATAGTCATTTTCACATCCTTTGAGAGCTATAGAAATTATTTTTATGCATGCTTATACATTTCTATTAAATATTAAAAAGTAAAGCAAATGTAGCAAAAAGTATTTATTACCTTTCCAAAAGACCCCTGACCAAGAACCTTGAGCAGGTCAAACTGTGCAGGATCTGCTTTCTCATATCCTTCTTTCACATGATGTGTAATAGGGATTTCTTTAACATCTTCATCCTTCAAAAAAATCCAAATAATACTAATGTGCAATTCCAACATTATGTGATTAGTTCCATTTCAAAAAAAAGTCACACTATAAGTTATACAATACCAAACCCCATCAATCTAGTACTTTGTTTTATGGACTAATTCCTATCTCCTGATATAACACAGAGATATAATTTCATTTCTTTTGTTGCCAGGTCTTGTTGGTGGTGGTGGTGGTGGTGTTCATTTGAGGTATTCATGCTATGTACACCTAGACTAGAACTTGCTGTGTAGAGCACATGGGCCTCAAACTTTTGACAATTCTCTTGCCTCTGCCTTCTGTATACTGAGATTACATTCATGTGCCAACAAGCCCAGCTCTTAATATATAATTTCATATAAATGAAAGCATGTGAAATAAATTCATTCAAGTGTTATAAGTAGATAACAATACAATATTAAAAACTAAGATTTATTTTTAATTGTATTTTTATTGATGTTTAGATGACTACTGTATTTACATAATTCCTTCATTCTTCCTCCAACTCCTCCTATTCGCTTCCTCTCAAATTCATACCCTCTGTTTATTATTACACATATATACACATAAATATATAAGTAAGCCTGCTGAGTCTATCTCGTATTGTTCATATTGTACATATGTTGTTAGGATTGGTGACTTGGCACTGAATAATCAATTACAGAACTCATGGAAGAGAACTAGACTTATTCTCCTCTCTCAATAGTCATTAATTGTTTGTAGCACTTCTAGGGATGGGTCCTTGTAAGATTTCTACCTTCCATAATGGCATGTCAACTAGTGTTATCATTGTTTAGGTCTTGTTTATGCAACCTTACTGTTGAGATTTCATGGGTGCAGCTTCCCTGTCCTATATAGAGAACACTATCTTCCATCAGCCAGTATGATCCCCTGACTCTTATGATCTTTCCAATCATTTTTCCATGATGTTCTTTGAGTCTTAGGTGTACAGTCTTAGATGTGTTGTAGATGTATCAACTGGGGTTAAACACACCACAGTCAGTTGAGGAACTTAGATGCTTAAGCCCCTCACAGAAGGGCAACTTATGAGACAGAAACAGAAAAAGTAAAGATTAAACCTTGCAAATTGTGAGAAAGCAAACATAAAATCTCAAAAGTCCTTTTAAATAGTAATTTACTATATTCTTAAGTATATTAGTATCCCGATCAATGCAAAACAAACTCACAAAAATAATTATAGAACTCAAAAATGTTCCCATGCCATGAACTTTTATTAATAATTTAAATATAATTTAAATATAAATAAATATAAATATAAAAGTATCCTACCATCTATGTTAGAAAGAAAGGAATCCTCCCTGGGAATATTTCTACCCCATCACAGATGACAACTCTCAGGTGTTACGACTATACTCAAGTAAGTTGTAATTCTAGTCTGTATGGAAAATACAGTAACTAATATTTTTTTCTTAATCTTCATGGATTTCCTATTACAAAATAGCAAATCTGAAGGTATAATCTCTGATTCAACTCCATTACTGTCTAGAAAACAAAACTGATACACTCAAAGCTTGAGTTCTACAATATCTCAAGTCAAATATTCTTTATTCTATTGCTCCTTTAATTCTCTGATTAATCAATGGTGGCTGGCTGTGGCTAAAGAGGACAAGAGAATGGTCCCAATGAGCTAGTTTTCTTGACTGCTAAAATAATATCAATGACACAGAAAGTCAGATATACACTCTCAAGTGTAGTTGAACTGAGTATTACTGTACTAGGTACATTTAAGCAATGATTAAGAAAAAAATAACATCATATGGCTATGACATAATCCCAAATGGCTGATAATCTTACACACACAAAAAAAAGCATGTGCAAGTAAACACACACACACACACACACGCAGGCGCGCACACACACACACACACACACACACACACACACGGGGTAGGGGGTATGTGAAGCCATAGACCATCTACAAACTCACGAGAAAGACCTCAGAAAAATCAATTTTGCCAACACCTCGATGGCAGACTTAATAGAGTCCAGAATTGTGAGAAAATTAATTTTTGCTGTGTAGGACACTCAGTCTGTGGTCCTTTGTTAGGGCAGTCCTAGAAAATATAGACAGTGCCTATCTGTGAAAATGAAGTTGGTACTGTAAAATAAAAATTTAATAACTTCCACACAGAGTTCACTGCATTTTCCACATTAAATGACAAATCTGAGACACATATGACTACAGTGTTAGGTACTTTTATAGAACTCAAAAGTATATTTAATATTAGGAAAAAATTAAGAAGGCTGAACTACAACTTCTATATTATGATCATTTTTTGTTTTAAATAAAGGAAGCCAAGAGTGCTTGACACTATCAAATCAAATACTGTGTCATCATTTGAGAACTGATTTGCTTCTGGGGAACTGTTAGAATGAAAAGGAGATGATGACAGTCGCATTCCACTATACCTCAAATACAGAAGAGTCACAAGATTAGAAGACTAGCCTCCAGAACAAAAAGGAGGCACCATTTAAAGAATAAATACTTTAAGGTTTATATAACAATGCGAAATCTGTTCAAATATTTGTTTTATTTTAAGGCAGAAAAGATATTTTAGTTAAAAAAGAAATACAACTTAAAAGGAAGCCATTTTGTTGTAGACTAGTAAAAGCAAGTATGGAGACAGAACAACATGCAAAGAATGTTGCAGTGTCACGAAAAGTCACACCAGTATTAATGTAACGTGCTTTGAACAACGGCTAACCATAATGTAAATAATGAAATGCTACTAGGTAAATTCGTCAAAACAATGAACACATTGGAAAATAGTTGCAGAACACTACAAGATTATATGTTGATGACTCGAGACCAAAGGCTGACAGTAAACTAATCCTTATTTAGGCTGATCTATTCTAACTACATCAGTCTTGGTTCCCTCATCTATAAAATAGAAAGAAACCCTTTTGTAGATATTTATAATACTTATCTTTAGGAAAAGAACAAAATAAGCATCACTATACCCTTTAAGGTTCATCTGTACATTTTTAGATGTTCTTGATAAAAGTTTAAATTTTATTATCATCAAAAGTAAAATGTTATTGATATTAACCAAATTACAAATATCAAAGTGACATCATATTTCTCTTGTCAACCCTAACTGAAAGTATGTCTCAAAGTCACTGTCTACTGAGTTAGCAGGAAAGAACATTTCAAAGGAGTCTTAAACACAACTGAAATACCTCTGCTAGTTTCTATATGAGATAAATTTACTGATGAATATGTTTTTAAGGGATTTCCTAACTATCTGCAACACTACATAAGAATGGTATTTTTATCTATACAAGACAATCACCTAACAGGAGACAGATTCTAATATGTGCTGGTCTAACCCACCTGCTAAAAACCATAACCTCTCTAAATCTCAAAAGAACAAATCTATACTCTGAAGAGAAAATAACAAAATAATTCATTGGAAGTTTCTTCTAAATACAAAAAAGGCTATAAATATACCTAAAAAGACATCAACTATGAAATCATAACATTAACAGAAATGTCCATATTAGTCTGATCTTCCCTAAAATCTTAAGAATATTTTTCACAAAACTAGATCTTATAGATTATGTCTTTTATACAGGCCTTAAATATGATGACCAAATAGGTAAACAATCTTTAGAACTAGTTAGAGACTTCTGAAGTAATTTAAATTCAATCCTTTCTAAAAGCTAAAAAATGGATTTTAAATATTTCAAGCCATCTTTATAGTCCCATTAAGCTAATAGATAGCTTTCCTTTCTATTCTGAAGTTGAAAATAATCTCTTTTGAAGTTTAATCCAGGGGATACTGCATTAAAATAACTAGATTTCTTATATACTAAAAAGTAAAAATGCCGTTTCTTATATTCAAATTGGTGATTATTATGGCCTGTATATTGTCAGCAAAGCTGTTTTTCTTTTTTTAAAGTCACACACTGGGCAGGTTTTATGATTAAAAGCTGTAATCCTAGTACTTGTGAAGCTGAAGCAAGAGGAGTGTTAAATGTTAAGGTGAGCCTGAACTACAGAGTAAGATTCAATTTCATTAAAAAAAAAAAAAAAACTCAGGGTAGCTCAGGGTAGGGATGGAGCTCCGTGTGTATACCTAGTGCATGCACAAACAAAACATAGGAAATTTTTAAAACTTTAGATATGAAGTACGGTGATACATGCCTATGATCTCAGAAGGTGGAAGTTAAAGCATCAGGAATTCAAGGTATCCTTAGTTACACTAAGTTTAAGAACAGCTAGGACCACATGAAACCATTTCAAAATTTTACATTTATTACAGACTTACTAAAATACATTTCTGTAACTGATAAAACTTTTCTCTTTTCCAATCATTTTTTCTTTATATGCTACAAATGGTGTTTACTAAATTAACATGATACTTACCAGGCTAGATTCTGGTTCTCCCTCTTCCATTGGCTCATCAACCATTTTAAGATCATTTACCTGAAAAACATTTTTCAAACTGTGAAGTTCAGTGATACTGAAACAAGAATAACTAAGAAAAATATAACACTGGGCATTTCCCTTCACAATCTAACAAGTTCCTGAAAAACAAAAGGTCAAGGGTACACAGAAATTATTTAGAAAAGGAAATTTATGAATTGAGTTCACATATTGTCCTTAAAGCCTCAATTTTCATAGTTTTACGTTTCACTACATGCTTCTTAAATGCTGTGCCATGACCAATGAATGGCCTTACACATACAAATAAATCTCCCAGAATCTAACTTAGATATAGTCAAAGAATGTTACAATAGGAACAATTTCATATGAATGAATAATGGAAAATCTCATATGCTTCAATTTTAAATTCATAAGATACCATACAGAAATAAAACTTAAATTACAAGAGCTTTAAGCAGCTATAGAAACATTTTCACATGCAAAGCTTTGGGGATAATTATATGTATTGAGACACTAATTTTAAAAAAGTAATTATGGATGGTTTTGATCAAGGGTTTACAAACTATGATCCATAAGCCAAATCAGGTTAGCTACCTTTTCCTGAATAAATGCTACTAAAATACAGTCACAGTCGTTTGTTTCCACACTACCTATGATAGCTTTCACATTAGAGCAAGGTTAAATAGTGTGACAGAAATTGTAACTACAGAGATACCGGAACGACAAGGTGTTAAATATTTATTGTTTGGCCTTTTACAGAAAACGTATATACAGATCATTCACTGATCTAAAGAGTTTGCATATTAAATAACAGTAAGTTGGTCTAAATGAAAAGGAATTTAACCAATGTCAATTTGTAAGAGATCACAGAAAAGCAAAATTAGATGAATAGACAGAAAGAAGGATGGATTAAATAAAACTAATAGTGACACCGGCACCTAAAAATAGAGGAAGTTCACTAAGTCTACCACGTCCCTGATTATCAACTAAAAATTCTATTTAGAATGCTAAAGAAACTATCCTGGGACTCTGGGAAGTAAACACTAACAATAGAGAAAGATACCAAAATTTGATAAACAATTCAGAGTTTATTTTCTACCTGTATCTCCTGACTTTGGTCAGTGGGGAGACTGAATCATGGAATCCTCTCTACTATAGGCCTAAAAAAAAAAAAAAAAACTTCCCACCGGGCGGTAGTGGTGCACACTTTTAATCCCAGCACTCAGGAGGCAGAGGCAGGTGGACCTCTGTGAGTTCGAGGCCAGCCTGGTCTACAAGAGCTAGTTCCAGGACAGGAACCAAAAAGCTACGGAAAAACCCTGTCTCGAAAATTTAAAAAAAAAAAAAAAAAAAAAAACCTCCCCAAGAAGAATATACTTCTGGGGTGGTTATCATAAGGAAGCTTTCTAAACTTATCCAGTTTTCCTTTTTCAACATCCAACCACACTAAGGCAAGGACCAATCAAAAGAAAAACATCTCTCCAAAGGAAGCAGGAAAAGAGACCCCTGTGCTAAGAAAGGTATAGGTATAATCCCTTTTTATTTGCTGCCTTTGTCACTAAGAGACCAGCTACAATACTATAAAGCTATGTGAACTAGGGCTTTGAAAGAAAATCCTATTTCTGGGTTCTGGCCAGAAAAACAGTATTAAAGTTCCTGGAAAATGGATAATTTATAAGAAATTACAATAGAGGTATTTCTTGATTCTAGGCTTGACCTAATTCAAGTACTGGCTTCAACATCAATCTGTACATGTAGGAACTACGACACCAAAACACAAGAACATCTTTGAAAAATGATTAACTAATACTCAAAACTCAGCCTAACCATGAGTGAGAAATTAGATTACAGTAAACAGTGGAAGAATATTTATCTAGGCACAGGTGAGCAAAGGCATGTGAATTTGACAGCAGAGAGCCATAAATTGGACACAATCTATCTGTCTTTCAACCAGTCCTGGACAAGCAATAAAAGATCACATATCAACCAAAAGGAAGAACTACTAACACCTCTGACAGATCAGAGGATTCTTTCCACACATTTTGTCAACCTTGAATTCCTAAGTGGTCATTATTGAAAGGACAGCTCTAAGAATGCAATGCTGAAAAAAAAAAGCAAACTGAATGGGAACAAAGAAAAACTAACCAATATAGATTAATCAGGGAGCCATTCCATATCAGCTCTTCACCCAGAGTTTCTAATCTCTGAATATGACAGCACTATCTTATACCTTACTTCAACAGATTGGGGAATGTGCTATTTAAAAACACATGCTATAAATTTGTCATTAACAATCAACTTTCAACAAACAATCCAAAACCCAGGAAGATAGCATCCTGATAGCTAAAATTTTATAATCAAGTGATTCTCATATTTGTCTATACATAAAAGTTATGTATAAAAAGGACTGAGACTTTGACTTCCCTCTGTTACCTAGCTACTGCTTGCATACTAGCCATACCATCTTATGACTAATTTATCATAAAGCTCTTAGTCTGGAGAAACTAGAAATAAAACGAACTGGAATGAATCAAAAAACATCGTGGCATCCTGGGAATCATCCCCGTCACAAACAAAACACTTAATTTTTCCTACTTTATCAATCTTCAAAGAACAGGTTTTCAATATAAGAATATCAATCTATGGAATACCACAGAATTCACTGGTGCTTACTAAAATCCAAATCATTTTTCACTCATGTGAAAACAAAAATATATCCAAAATGATCTAAGAAAATAAAATTTTATTTAAAAATATAACCTCTAATTTGAGAAGATAAATGACATATTTTGCCCCCATTAAGTGTGAAATGGAAGTCCAGCCTGCCACCTATAATCGAAGCACTTGAGAAATTGAGGGGAGGATTGTGAGATCAAGGTCACTCTGGCTTATGCAACAAGATCCTCTCTCAACAAAACAAAAGAATTAAAGGGCCCAAAACCCAAATGAACAGATCTCATAAGTGTAATAAAGAGTACTTTTCAATTATTTTAATTTTCTCAGAAAAGAATTTAAGCACTTTCAAACAGCCTGGAAACATCAAGAAAATAAAAATATACAAATCAGAAAGAGGCTAATGACAATGTAAGAAATAATAGGTGATGTAAGCTAATAATTTCATTAATAAAACATATATAAGCCATCAGTCTTCACAACAAATATTATAGTATTATTACATAGTAATACTATGTAATACTAGTAGTTTCCAGGATCACCCAAAATACACCTAGCAAGCAAAATGACTGTATGTATAATATACAATGTTAAAAAATTCTTAAGAATATGATATTCTAAAGAAATTTTGTTCTCAAATAAACTTCATGACTATATGTTGGATACTGACAGCTTCTGGAAAAGGTCAATTATTATTGTGATTATTATTATTATTATTATTATTATTATTATTATTATTTCCCTCCTTCTTCCCCCTCTACCTCCTCCTTCTCTTAAAACTAGAACAAATTACACTGAAATTTAAAGGTACTTTTGCAATACCTAGAATAATGATCTATGTCTGTATATTGAGTCAAATTCTTGATAACATCAACTGAGAAACTTCCAAGTGATTCAATGCAGCAAACAAACTCTGAGATAATCCCCCATGATCCTCACCTCTTCAGGTTCATGTTCTTGTACAACCTCTGTTGTCTTACAAAGTCTGAGATAATCCCCCATGTCCTCCACCTCTTCCTGTTCATGTTCTTGTATAACTTCAGCCATCTTCGGGGCAAACATATCCTGTGGCTGAATTCCAAAGAAAAATAACAATGACAAAGGTGATGGGATTTCATTTATATGATTACATTATGCCAAAAAAAAGTCTAGAAGTTCTCCTTATTGTCGTCACTGAACTAAGTGGTTATGTTGAAAACCCACAAAACAAAGGACTGTAGCCATCTTCTTGCAGTACTAAGCAACTTGAGGGAAGCTTCCAGTTAATAATACTCAGAAAATAACCATGCAAAAAATCTTTGAGAGTTTAAAAGTGGACCTTCCCCAGGGAAGCCTCCAGATAAGAATGCAGAACAGCCGAAACCTTGATTACAGGTTTGTATGAATAAGCAGAAGACTTGGTTTAATCATGTCCATACTCTTGGCTCATACAAACTGTGTGATAATAAATATATATTTAATCTGTAAATTGACAGTAAAGTGTTATGTAGCAACTGATATTTATTACAATCAATATTACTGCTCAAAAGTGTCTAGAATTAAAAGTTCTCTAAAAGGCTTTCTAGAGAAATTTTTTACAGGTTTAATACTTTAGAAATGTTTTTATTAAACCCATCTTTGTTCTCATATTACAGATAAGAAATTGTAAATTATATCTTACTAAGTAACCTAGGAAAAAGAGCTAAAACTTCAAAACATTTGCATAACAGTTAAGACTAAGAAGGTATGCTGCTGTCCTTTAATGCTGTTTTCTGAAAATAAGTTACTATCTTAATAAGCATGTTATAGAACACATTAATTTCCTATTCCTTTCATAGTCACAGAAGCTTGAGAAGTTGAGGCAGGAGAACCGCTATGGCTTTCAGGCCAGCCTGTGCTACACAGCACATTCTAAGCTAGGAAGGTGTACAAAGGGAGATTATTAGCATTTAGCTACTTCCGACATATTAAGTTATTCAATGAAAGATTATAAAAAAATCACAAAAATACAGGCTCAATTTACAGCACACCTCAGAACATATCCTAGAATTTGTTTTTTACAAACACAATTCCATCATAGCTGCAGATACGAGTAAACTGTATAGTGCTGATAAGTATGTAAAACAGCAAGATGTCACATAAATCAAGTTGCTACTTAAAAAATTAACGTAGAATTAGCATGTTATATATAATTGTACTTCTGGTTGTGTAACCAAAAAAATTGAAAGCAGAGTCTCATAAACATCACTGTGTACTGAATGATCAGAGCAACAGTATTCAAAACGGAAAGGTGAAGCAACCTAAGTACATGTCAGTAGTTATATAAATAACAGCGTAGTATATGTACACAATGGAATGTTATTCAGCCTTAAAAAAGAAACAAACCTGACCCATACTACAAAATAGATGAACCCTAAATTGATGATGTTAGGAGACTAACAAAAAGAAAAACACTTTATTCTACTAATATGAAGTGCCAAACAAGCCAAAGTCATATAGCCAGAAGCTAAAATAGCAGCAGAGGCAAGTAGCTCTCTATTAGTTCAAAGCCAATCTGGTCTACACAGAAAGATCAAGGACAGACAGGGATACATAGTGAGACCCTGTCTCAAAACCAAATGACCAAAAATAATGAATTCAGTTGCATGGAGAGGTTTTAAAAGGGAAGGTCTGACTGCTCCTTGGACTGGAGAGGGAAGGGGAGGGGGTAGGAGGGGGGGAGGAAAGTGGGAGGAGGGAAGGAGGTGGAAATTTTCAATAAAAAATAAATTAAAAAGAGATAGACATGAGATGGAAAAAATAAAATAAATAAATAAAAGCCAACAGAATCCATCTCATTTAAAATAATTTTTAAACATAGCTTGGGTTACACATAAGACTTTTTAAAATATCACTTATTTCTTTTTTTAAATTGATGTTATCAAGCTATACATTTTCCCCTCCCTTTCAAGCCTCCTCCAAGGTCCCCATGCTCCCAATTTACCCAGGAGATCTTGTCTTTTTCTACTTCCCATGTAGATTAGATCTATGTATGTCTCTCTTAGGGTCCTCATTGTTGTCTAGGTTCTCTGGGATTGAGAATTGTAGGCTGGTTTTCTTCACTTTATGTTTAAAAACCACTTATGAGTGACTACATATGATAATTGTCTTTCTAGGTCTGGGTTACCTCACTTAAGATGATGTTTTCTAGCTCCATCCATTTGCCTGCAAATTTGAAGATGTCATTCTTTTTTTCTGTTGTTTAGTACCACAAGGACATGTGCTCAACTATAGTCATAGCAGCATTATTTGTCATAGCCAGAACCTGGAAACAACCTAGATGCCTCTCGACCAAAGAATGGATAAGGAAAATATGGTACAATGGAGTACTACACAACATATTTCTTACAAATCATTCTTTAAATGGCAATTATTTCAAAATGTGATAATTTTAAAAAATGTGTTTCTTAAGTCTAATTTCTGTTAGCAAAATTATTACAAATGTCAGGAAATACATAATAAAGCCCTTCATCTAAACTATGGCCCATGTGTCAAATTTTGCCCATTTTCACAAGGCCAACAAGATGAGACTTATGTAATTTTACACTCACACGTTTCCCTAAAGGCACAGAATATGTGTCATCTGTCATATATTGTCTAGAGTTACCTGAACTCCTATAGAAAAGTTACTGATCTCTACTCAATATAATTTGTAAATTATAAGCATAAATTTGAGGATGTACAAAGACAGTAAGGTATCCTCCCAGTGAATCAACAGACTAAAATATCAACTCTTTGTGATCATAAGTTACACAGTACACAGAGGATACCCTTTACCCAGAATATATCATAATTTCATAAAAATCAAGCTACATTTCCTTTGTGTGGTGAGGGAATGATGATGGTGACACAGTCCCTTGTTATATAGTATGATTAGCCTGTTAGTCCATATAGAGTCCTGACTGGTCTCAAACTCACAGAAATCCTCCTGCCTCTGCCTCCCAGATACTGTTATTACATGAGGGCCACCACAAACTACATCCAATTATTTTCTTTTATTTTTTTTTAGATAGCATCTCACTACGTAACTCGAGCCAGCCTAGAATTTTCTATGTACTCCATTTTGGTTTTCAATTCATAATCCTTTTCCCTCTGCTTCTCAAGAGCTGGGATCATAGGTATGAACTTAGCTCAATATTTATTTCCAACTTACTTTTCTCTAATGTTTTCTAAATGTTTGCATTTTTTTCTAAAAACTATCCACCAAGAGACAAATATTTGGTGCACACTTGTAATCCTGCCACCTGGAAGACTAAGACAAAAGCAACACAAATTCCAGATCTTAAAGGCCACCAAGGGGCTGGAGAGATGGCTCAGTGGTTAAGAGCACTGACTGCTCTTCTAAAGGTCCTGAGTTCAATTCCCAGCAACCATGGTGGCTCACAGCCATCTGTGATGAGACCTGGTGCCCCCTTCTGGCTTGCAGAAACACATGGAAGGAATGCTGTACACATAATGAATAAATAAATATTTTTTTTAAAAAGCCACCAAAATGGATTCTTAAGTTTCAAAGCATCTTGAATGCTAATTAGACAACCATAACTTTAGCTGCAGAAAAACTGTAAATGCATCTCCCTGAAAGTGAAAAACAGTGCATTAGATATTGAAGCCGTTAATCCCATTAAGAGACTAATGTCCTATCGGGAACTCACCAAGGCCAGCTGGCCTGCTTCTGAAAAAGCCTGGGTTAAAACCGGTCTCGCTGAACATAGCGGACAAGGAGGACTACTGAGACCTCAAGAACAATGGCAATGGGTTTTTGATTCTACTGCACCTATTGGTTTTGTGGGAGCCTAGGCAGTTTGGATGCTCACCTTACTAGACCTGGATGGAGGTGGGGGATCCTTGGACTTCCCACAGGGCAGGGAACCCTGATTGCTCTTTGGGCTGACGAGGGAGGG